GGGTTGTACTGGGCAAGGTACCCTTGGGAGGTTGGTAGGACGTACTGGGAGGGTGGTAGGACGTACTGGGAGGTTGGTAGGACGTACTGGGAGGGTGGTATCAAAGCGGAATAAGTTGGGAAAATACGCGTGTGTGTATCCGTACCGATTCTACTGCGGCTGAGACGGAGTCTAATATGCCGCTTCCATTAGTGGTTCCTGTTCCCGAAGTGGTTTGGTTGGGTAGGTTAATTTTGCCACTCAGATTCACGGAAGGGTAGAAGTAAGGGTCGTCGTTGTTGGTGTCGAACATGTGGGAAAATTTCGTTACGAGTTTTTTCTTCGAACGGAATATTGGATGTCCCAATGAGCTCACATGAGCCCAATAACAGCGCCAAGGCTCCGTCAGGTAATCGCTCTGTCGGGGACAAGACACCACCTGCAATTAAGAGGAAGCCCAGCACAATCAATCCATCACTTGAGGAACTCACTGCCGAAATAAAACGTCTAACAGGCCAGGTTTCCGAGATGCAAAAGTCGCGCGATGAAGACTCGAAGTAAGCGTTCCGCAGAGCATGAAGATTTCCATTGGTGCAAACTCATTCGGTAGGATTAGCTAGCTGGTTGGCAATGGTTATCACGGCTCCAGGTGTCACAGAGTCCCGGCTCCAGGTGTCTCGGCTGAGGTGTCTCGGCTTAGGGGTCTCGGCTTAGGGGTCTCGGCTGTCTCATTTGCAATTAAGCGCCGCTGCTGGGGAATGATGCCGCAGGTGAATGGTAGGGCACGAATAGGTCCTAGGGACAGTAGTTCTTGGGTATATACAGAATATGGTAGAGGACGTTCTGGGGACCGAGCCGACCCAAGTTCTTCCGGAGAGTCGTCCAGTCCGGTCGGCTCTAATCAAAGCGAGGGTTACTCGGATGGCGAGAGCGACATAGAATTGGACAGAAACGAGAGACGATTTACGGCACCGTCCGGAGCGCCTGGCCAGATGAATTCGATCCAGACGCCCGGTCCTGGACCATCTGCGACGTCTTTCGGCTGGAGTTTGTTCTCAGGAAAGTCGCCCGTGGATAAAGGCGCCCCTCCAGTCACCGCCTCAGTCGAAACGTCGAAGGAAACGTCGCGTCAGTTCAACAATACGAAAGCCAACGGAAGAGCGGCGCAATTCAAGGCGAGATCGAGGAAGGCCCACCAACGGCAGGCCTCCAAAGCGGGTGAAAACACGTCGAGTAGGAACACGCCGATCGGCCATGAGGCGACGGCTGTACCCGAGCCCGCGTCCAAGTCGACTGTACCCGACTCGGCTGCACCCGAGTCGACCATACCCGACTCGGCTGCACCCAAGTCGACCATACCCGACTCGGCTGCACCCATGTCGACCATACCCGCCTCGGCTGCACCCAAGTCGACCATACCCGCCTCGCCTGCACCCGAGTCGACCATACCCGACTCGGCTGCACCCATGTCGACCATACCCGACTCGCCTGCACCCGAGTCGACCATACCCGACTCGGCTGCACCCATGCCGACCATACCCGACTCGGCTGCACCCAAGTCGACCATACCCGACTCGACTGCACCCGAGTCGACCAGACCCGCCTCGCCTGCACTCAAGTGGACCGTACCCGACTCGGCTGCACCCGAGTGGACCATACCCGACTCGGCTGCACCCAAGTCGACCATACCCGACTCGGCTGCACCCGAGTCGACCATACCCGATTCGGCTGCACCCGAGTCGACCATACCCGCCTCGGCTGCACCCGAGTCGACCATACCCGCCTCGGCTGCACCCAAGTTGACCATACCCGCCTCGGCTGCACCCAAGTCGACTGTACCCCAGTCAGGTGTACACCCAATCATGCACCCTGGATTGGGGTTGACGGGGGAGTTGAGTGCCACGGCGACCGAGTTCACTACGGCTTCGGCAGCCGAGTCTGGTAGGCTAAACGGTGACCTTTTCGGGTTTGGCGGAAAGGGGAAGTCGGTGCCTCAAAGCTTGCGGTGCTCGACAGGTGATTCGTGTCAATCTTCCAAGACGGTTGCAGCTTCTGCCGGCCCGGGAATGGCGGTTGTTGGAGGACCGAAGGGAGCGTCCGCTGGTGGCCGCACTGGGGAAGCGGACTCGGTAGCCTGTAGGGAGGCAGAGACGAAAGCCAGTGGGGGAGGAGAGCCTGCAGAGACTGTAGTAACAGGTGCGGAGGTGGGGTTGGTCTTGCGGGAAGAGCGGACGTTAGAGCAGCGGATATCAGGGGAGCGGACGTTGCAGGAGCGGATGTCAGGGGAGCAGAGTAGAGCTGAATCTTGCGGGTGAGATGAAGGGACACGTTCTTCACTGGTTAGGGAGTTGGTACGCCGTGCACGAACAATCAACCTGCTTAGGGAGGAGGCGGTTGACGCTCGACGCAAAGGCCCACGGCAATCGACGACGGACGAGTTGCGGAGGCAAAAGTCTGAAATGGACGCGAAAGAGCAGCAGCGAAAATTCGTTGACGACGAAATCCGGAAGCGGCACCAAGACCTGCAAGAACTGGATCAGGAGTTCCTGGAGAAAAGACCCGAACTCGACAACCTGAAAAAGGAGATCGGCGAGAAGACTCGAACCTTAGAAGATCTCAGGGACCAAATACGAAAATGGAACGAGACAGTGGAGAAAAGAAAGTCGGAAATCGGCCAGGTAACTAACTCCTGAACAGGGTGAGGGGTAGTTGTGAGGGGTAGTCGTGAGGGGTAGTCGTGAGGGGTAGTTGTGAGGGGTAGTTGTGAGGGTAGTGCAGTTGTTGAGTTGTTTATGATTTGTAGTATGGAGAGGCGCGTAATGTAGTGGGTAGTCGTGAGAGTACGGCGTGCGGGGTAGAGGAGACGGATGTTGGTCCGGGAAGTAATTACGAGGAGAAGCATCGTCAATGTCGGGAGCGTATTAAGCATGATGAAGATCGGTTGGCTGCAATGAAGGGTACGCTATCGAAGCTTGAAGAGGAGCAATACCGGGTGTCTGCGGCTGCTTACGTTACGTTATGGGGAAGTTGGGCTTTATCTAAAGAGGGCTGGAAAAGAGCCGAGGCTTTAGCCAGGTTCGCGAGCACGAAGGCTGTGGAAGTAGCGAGGGATTGGGAAAGGTTTGAGACCGAGCAGAGTGTGATGCAAAAGGTGTGGTTGGAGTGTGAGGAGAGTCGGCAGCGTGGCGAGCGGGCGAGAGAGCGATACGAGTTATTATTTAAGGGCTTGCAATCAAAGGAGGAGGAAGCAGAAAGGTGTTTAGATCAGTTAGAGAATCGGGAAAGGGAGCTGGCAGAACGAGGTAAGAGATTGTCAGGAGAGGAGTTGAAGTTGGAAAGAAGAGCCGCTGAGCTTGATGAATTAAGTTGCCAAATGACCAGAGAGCGAGATAGACAGGATGCAATATTAAAGCAGCAAGTGAAGGATAACGAAAACACCTTAAGGAACGAGCGAGACAGTTTGCAACGTGAAAAGACCAAATTACAAGAGCAAATTGAGACCCAGACAGCGCAACTGAACCAGGACCGTGAGGCCTTGCAAAAGGAACAAGAACGCATCGATCGTTTGAGAGCAGAAGCCGAGAAGAAAATGTTCGACGCCAGCGAGCGGGAGACCGGAGTTAATGCTATTGTGGACCGGGCTAAAAAGGCGCAAGACGAATGGGCCACGGAAAGGGCCGCTCAGAAGACTGCCACTGATAGAGTCAACAAGGATCTGGACGGGAGATCTAGACAGATTGAGAAACAGGAGAGCGACCTTCACAAAAAACAAGCCAAACTGGAGACAGACAGCCAGAGCTTTGTCGACGTCCAGACATCATGTACAGCCGAGATGAAGACTCAAGCAGACCTGATTAAGGTCTTTCTCGGACTCAAGAAAGAAGTCAAGAAAGAAGTCAGGAAAATGGCCTGGCCGAAACAGTCGACTAAAACGGGTGACCTTAACTCTTTCTTGGTGGAGCTGAAGACAGCCACGAAGACTCTTCAGGATGCGCTAGAGGAATTTGCGGAAAATATTGGCGGGGTAGAAACACAGAGAGCGTGACACACAGAGTGCTTGGGGTGGGACGGGTGCAAGTAGCTGGGGTGGGAATGACGTTGTTGTTTCTGCAGTGTTCGGAGGCGAAGGGGATGGCGATCGGTGACGCGTTGAAGTCGGTTGAAGAACGTGCGGAGGCGTTGAAACAGGAGGTGAAGAATTTGTCGCAGTCGAAGAGCGACTTGGATGTGGAGTTAAAGCAGGCTGAACAAGCTTTGGCCCATGTGCGTAGTGAGGAGGCCGGGTTGAGGACGCAGGCGGAGGAGTCGCGAGCAGACTTGGCTGAGAGTCAGACGGAACTGGCGAAGGTGACAGAGACGCTAGATGAGATGGCACAGAGAAGAGACAAGTTGAGTACGGCCATTGGACAGCTGCAGCAGCAGCGTGAGAGTTTGGAGCGGGAATGTACTGCAAAGGAGCAGACCTTGGGCGTTTTGAAGACACAATGCAGTCATATGGAGCAGCAGATAGAAGAGTTTGACCGGAAGTTACAGGAGTTCAACACGTCTGTAAACGAGTGTCCTGAAATCATCGCAATGGAGAAGACGATCGCAGATAAACAGAATCAACTCCATTCCATTAAGGAAGAAACAGCACGCCAGGTTGATCGCTTCAGACGAGTCGAAGCTAAACTGGAACGAACACTCCAATGGCTGAAGAACAATGGCATCGCTCTAGACGATCAGTATGTTCCGCACCGGTCAACACCCACTTACTATCGCGCTGGTAGCGCTAGCACTCTCGAACAACCTTCCACCTCGACCACCGGGCCCCTAACCGGTCCGGACACTCGCGCTAATCTGGACCCATTTTCTGCCGAGCAATTAAGAGTTCTCGAACGCACGGCAGACGACCTACTCCGGCCGGCGGAAGCTCTCAGGGCTGATGCTCTCAGATCTGAGGCTCTCAGGGCCGATGCTCTCAGATCTGAGGCTCTCAGAGCCGATGCCCTTCGCTCCGAAGCCCTTCGCTCCGAAGCCCTTCGCTCTGAAGCACTTCGGTCCGAAGCGCTCCGGTCCGAAGCGCTCCGGTCCGCCGCCACTTTGCGCTCTGAGACACCCCACACACTCCTGCGACCCACCGATCACGCGTTTGCTCACCAACACTCCTCTCTCCCAGATAACCAATTCGAATTGCTCCAAGGCTTTCGGTCTGATGGAACCGGCCGAAGACTGTTCCCTGTGCACGCGGAGTGGGCTACAAGTGACGACCAACGGAGATACGGCTTCGCTGACACCGCCACCAATTCAGTCGCCAAGGAATCATCCATAGGCGAATGGAAATAGCAAGCGGGATGCGCTACGCAGGCGACGCAGTGCGCTAGGTGGGCGACGCAGTGCGCTACGTAGGCGATGGGGTGCGCTACGTGGGCGATGGGGTGCGCTAGGTCGCCCTGGAAGGCGCAATGGAAGGGTTCCATCCGCGAGCTTCTTTGGGGGTACAACCGCGAGCACTTCCCGCGAGCACTCCTTGGGGGAAGCCTCCAAAAGAAACAAAAATACCCCCAAAACGTACCCTCAAGAAATAAGCTCGAACGGATGTGGCAGGGGAGGGGGATAGTATGTGAGTTAGTATTTTCATTACATGACAGATGTGCGCGCCGTGATGTGGCCGCAATTGAACGGGTACTGCGACCAGTTTATACGGTGTAATTAAACCTAATGGACCACTCCTTTTGGAGCACACGTGTGTTTAGAGTGAAATCGGTGTTTAGATTGGTGCAAAACAAGAGTCGGTTGCGTAAAACAGATTAAATCTTTGGCTGGCTGATGGGTATCCTGGTGTCTGTAGTGAAGTTATGTATCCTGGTTGTGGTGCGGGTATTGTTGTTGTTATTGGAACCATCGCGGGGTGGCGATCCTTGCGCCGTTCCCAAAAGTCGTCCCGGCTTGGAGACTTTTTATACGGAGGATTGGGTGAGGCATGACGCAGTCCTCGAGTTTACTCTGAGCGACCACGCACGGAACTGGCGACGTTGGTGCTGTGCCCGCTTACGAACAACTTGTCAGCGCCTGCGCCGAAAGCTGCTTCACAGCACGAACACACAAACTGGGCAACTGATCCTCCACTTCAGCGACCGGCTCCTCTCCAACGTCGCAAGCGACCTCCTTACAGTCAGTGAACCGCGTAGCGCCCACGGCCCCCTCACGACGGACTCCAATGAATGCCTTAAGGTGGGCGAACGCCATCTGGCAGGCGACCTGCTTAGGACCGGAGGCGACGCATTGTCCCTTATGGACAATGCGTGTGACAACGACCCAGTGGACGATAACCCAGTGGACGATAACCCAGTGGATGATGACAATCCAGTGAGGCCAAATGGACTGGTAAGCAGCAGTCAGTCGATTTGTAATGAAGACCTCTGCAATGAAGACCTCTGCAATGAAGACCTTTGCAATGAAGACCTCTGCAATGAAGACCTCTGCAATGAAGACCTCTGCAATGAAGACCCTTGCAATGAGGACCCTTGCAATGAGGGCCCTTACAAGGAATGTTGTCCCGTGATTGCAAAGCTATCGAGTTCGTCATGGCAGAGCCGACCCTACCCGAGTCCGGAGTCAGTGGCTCCCTCCCCTGTAGACGTCTTTGCGGAGATGCCGACGGTTCAGGGTCGAGAGATCACGTTTGGTCGGACGGCAACGGCTGGGCTCGAGCCGGGGTTGTGCCGCTCTCCAGAGAGCCGCCCTGTAGAGTGCGGTCCTCTAGATTGCCGCCCTCTGGACTTGAATGAAGCTCTGAGTCGACACCCTTCCGGATCGGATCGGTTCTCTTCTCTCAACGGGACTGACTTGGAACGCACGTCAACAGACGTCGAGCCTGCGCCTGTCTCGCGACATAGTCCGAATCATGTTCGTATCGTCCGTGCGGGATGGTTGGAAGCTCCCTCTCGATCCGAAGCACCCGCGGCTACTCGATCCAGATATGTAGCCGAAGCACAAAACAAGATAGCTGAAGGAGTCCGAAGGCTATCTGCATGCGACCAGAACGGGTTTGCTCCCAGACCCTTCTCCACGAATAAAGCATCTGGGGACGGAGCTTCGGGGGGTGGAAGTCCGCGAGGCGCAGCTTCCGAGTACGTTCCAGCTGGGACGAGACACCGATCTGTACCACAAGAAGTTACTTATCCTGACCGAAGTCGACATCCTGACCGAAGTCGAGGTCCTGACCGAAGTCGAGGTCCTGACCGAGATCTTGGTCTCAATGGAGATCTTGGTCCCAGTCTACGGGTTGGTCCCGGTCCACTGGTTGGTCCCGGTCTACAGGTTGGTCCTGACCGATATCTCCTTGGCGGTGGTCTACGTAACGGAGCCGAAACGGCAACTTCAGTAACAGCCTTTGATACCATATGTACGGGAGGGATCAGTCAGACCATTGAGAGTCAGACTATTGAGAGCCAAAAGGATGAGGGCCGAAAGGTTGAGGGGATTAAGGTTGGTGAGAAGGAAGATAGTTCAGCTCAGAATCAAACTGGAACGCTACTCCTCACCAAATGGGTCAGGGACTGGTACGGCGAGCATTCGCAGAATAGGCAGTCTGCCTCTGAGTCTACGTCTCAGTGTGCCTCTGAGGATGAGTCATTCCGAGACGGCACTTTGCAATTATGTCGCCCGCCCAAATGGAAGCCTGAAGGTACGGAGCAGGGAGCTAGCGGCTGCACCCACCGACACGATCAGACATCTGACGTGTCAACTTCGTCCTACTTTTCTGTGGATTCTCAAGGTGACAAAGCCCATCACAAACGAGCCAAGAAAATTTTGTCGGTCATTAAGCAAAAATTCACTAGCAACACCTATGCTGGAAACTAAGCCAGCCAGAGAAACGTTGTAGACAGCGTGTGCACACATATTGTGTGTGTGCACACATATTCAGTGTGTGTGCACACACTGCCTATAAGAAAGTGTACACATACAGGAAGGCGCAAGAACACACGCCCATCAGAACACACGCACATGAGATACATTGAGTAACCTACGGGTCCAGAATCTGCCGCGTCTTTATGACATGCCGCACTCTGTTGCGGCGCGGCGGCTGAGTGAGTACCTTCCGTTAGCTAGTTAATTCGCTAGTGGGTTTGGTTGCCATTATTTTTTGGTCCATGGACAACGAGCTAATTGAATCCCGTATGACACAAAGTGAATTATGATGTTTAAAGCCGTAGCTAATGAACGTCAGTTACCAAACCTGACTGCAGCTCAGAGTAAGAGGGTACCGCAAACGACAGCTTTGTTGTGCAGGAATCCGACAAAGGATAAGAACGATCCCAGCGGCAAGCGTGCACGCGTGGAAGCTGGCCACGGGCCCGATCCGAGTCTTATTCCTTATCACGGTCTTGAGTAAGACTTACAGTCTAACACGGATAGGGCTGGCTGACAACGAGGGAAAGGGCTGGCTCACAACGAGGGAAAGGGCTACGAGGGGTGGTGGTGGGGGGGTTGATATAGGTGAGGTTGTAGTGGCTGTGTTGTTGGTGGTGTCGGAATGTCGCGTTCGAAGTTTAGCAGCGACTGTTGCACGGTCTGAAACGGGTGTGCCACCAATTTCGGGTCGGCGTAGCGAGCCATGTACGGAGGCGAATCCGTGTCAGATTCAGTTGGTGGCGGATATGGACGAGCGTAGTTTGGTTAAAGGTGATAAGCCGCATTATGAAAGTCGGATGATGTTTGGGTCATTGTTCATGGATGAGCAAGAGCAAGTTCACGTAACATGGAAAACGGCTGGAATGCCGATGAAGATAATGGGTGGGTTAGCTGAATCGGGTCGTGGAATGGAACTGAGCGAATTGGTATTGTGGAATGGACAAATGTTGGCGTTTGATGATCGTACGGGTATTGTGTACGAGCTGATAACCGTACTAGAGGATGGAACCACAAGTCCTTTGGTCGATACAGTGATGCGGCACAAAGACGACGATACGGAGCCGAGATGGTCGGTGAAGCCGTTGCCTCGATACGTTCTTACAGAAGATCCGAATAGTGTGAAGGGAATGAAGGTTGAATGGGCTTGCGAAGTAGATGGAGATCTCATGGTTGGTAGTTTTGGTAAAGAATATACCACCGGGGATGGAAGCCAGATAACTGGAGAAGCTAACTTTTGGGTCGCCAGAATCGAAGCTCCCAGAAATAAAAACAAACCTGGTCTCAGATCCAATGGATCCCCGCAACCCATTGTCGAAAAAATCAATTGGAAGGGTCAATACAATAGACTCCGAGAATTAACCCGAACGTCTTACCCCGGATACATGATCCATGAAGCCGTCAACTACAGCGACAAAAAAAAGAAATGGTTCTTCCTGCCCAGACGAATTAGCAAAGAACAATATGATGAGGTTTTGGATGAATCACGCGGTGCATCACTCATACTCGAAGTTGACCCAAGTTTCTCAGACCTTGTATCCTATCCCATCGACTTCGCTGTACAACAACCTCATAGAGGATTCTCCAGTTTCAAATTCATGCCTGGAACCAACGATGAGATTATAATCGCCGTCAGGTCAGTAGAGGTCGCAAAAAGGCGGGAGACTCAAACATTTCTGTCCGTATTCGACGTCAAGGGCAAAGTGTATATGAACGAGGTGAATATTAGTGAGTACTGCAAGTATGAAGGCTTGGAAATCTGGTAATCAACGGCCGCGCACACGTGTGCTGTTCGACTTGACCGCCTTAATCCGCAGCATTTTGTAAAAATGTCCACTGGCATGTCTCGCTTGTTTTACTTAGAGCGAGGAATTTGGGCATCCTAGCCCGAATTAACCCCCCACCCCCCCTCCCCCCTCCCCCCTCCCCCCCGGGTCGATCTGAATTAAACTAAGGCTTGACCTGAGGCTCATCCCGAGGCAGGTTTCATGATGGGATCCTTGTCTGGAATTGGGAAGCCGGCCATGCAAGTGTCGGCCTTATGATTGGGTGTTCGAGTTGAGATTGGGGTAATTTTCTAAATGACATGGCCTATGCCTTGCAGCGGGTCGAAAAGCCCTTGTTGCGTGGAAGAGTAGTGTATGTAAGGAATCAGGTCTACAGTGTGTACGAAGCGTTGTTGAATATCCTGGAGCAGTCTCAGACGGTCGAGGAAGAGGAGCAGGAAGACTGGTGGTCGATGACGGAAGACAGCGATGATACATTTAAATCGTCCACGTCCACGACTACCGGTCGCGCAACAAACAATACTCGTCGCAGGCGTCGTGTTCGTGACGTCTCATATACCAGCCGACCGCATTCCAGCGAATGTGTCATTTCCGTCGAAGAGGACCCCGTCGACCCCCTCCGATCCATCGCCTGGGGCCGTAACGACCACCTTCGCACCCTCTTCGACCTCCTCACGCTCAGAGACGCCATCATCTCGCACTCCCTCCTCCAAGGCATCATCTATGGCGCTGCTATCATCGTCCTCAGCTTCCTCCGCCACCCCTTCGACTGGGAGGCCTTGGGCCAGAGATTATTCGGTACGGTACCCCCCGCCCCCCTCATCACCGGTACTACCCCCCTCATCACCGGTACTACCCCCCTCATCACCGGTA